GATGATGATTGTGTAATCACGGGTAACTGTTTTTATTAATTTCAATAAGAGCTCTTTCTGCGAACTAATGAAATAATTTTCCCCATTTCAGCAGATCCTCTATTGATTCAACTTTGTTTATTTCTCAGATTTTGAAAAGAGATCAATTCAAAAATCAGTAGGGAATATTGACTTATCCACAAAAATGTCTCTCAAAGAATAAATACGGAGGTGTTTTATTCCTAACGTTCAAAATGGTTAATATCAAAAGTGTACAATTGCAGAAAAACTAGAGGGATTTTCACTGGATATTTCTTGACATATTATTTTCAGTTGAAATAGAAATGGGTGGACCTGTGGCAAAATAGTAGACTTAAGGTCTTTATTCCTAAAAAGAGACACTTTTTCCACGTTACTAACATGGACTGTTAGACTAGTTAGGATAATTTATTAGAGTTGTCATGAATATTGAATCACATTTTCCGAACTAAAATATTTATCAATTTGCACGCGATAAATAATTCCCCATTAGATCTAGTGACCTTCCACGAACTCCCAAATCTTTCATACTTCTAACAACTGAGAGTGGTTCACAGTGTCAAAAGCCCTGGCCAAATCAAGGAACATACAGATAGTGGCCATACTTTCATCTACGTTTGAATAGATATTTTCAGTTAGTGCTGATATTGCGTTATTGGTAGATGTGCATTCTTCAAATCCGTATTGGTGTTCAGATATTACATTATATTCATTCATAAATTTTGTCAGTCGGTTTTTGATAGTTCTTTAGAAAATTTTTGCAAAATTCGTAATTAATGAAATGGGCCTGTAGTTACGAATACGTTTTCTATCACCCTTTTCAAAAATCGGTGTAACTATCGCTCTTTTGATTCCATCTGGACATATACCCACCAGTGTGGAAAATGCAATTTATCAGATGTAAAAGTTGTGAAGATACCAAGGTGTTGATTTTTTTCAGAAGCCAATACTATGTGTACCAATACTCTAACAGAAATCGGAACAAGTTTGATGACAGTATCGAGGAGAGATATATATATGTATTAGAATTACATATTTTGAAATGAGGTTGCTTTGCTTGTGTGTCGAATATAATTCAATGTTCATCGTATATATCATACTGTATAGGAACTATAGGATCGTTCAAGCGGCGTTATGCGTCGACTGCACGATGGAGGGTGAGTTCGGAGGAGTAGGGGTTCCCTTGACAGTGGTGGCGCTAAATAGAGGGAAGATGCCTAGTTGTAAGGCTTTCGAGCCAGACCAGCAGAAGGCGGCGGCATTATTCATGTATAGGAACGTTGAGGAACGTGAATATTTCGAATTTTCATTCCAAAATATTTTTCTAATAACAACATTTCTTTTATAAAGTCCAAGTTGTGGACTTTTGTTGTTGTGGCCACAACGTTTAAGGCTGATAGACTTGACCATTGTGATTCGTAGGTACTGAGTTTAGGAATCGACTGTTCTGTACTTGGGATTCTCAACTGACCTTCAGTACTTTCTATGTATTAAGTTAAATTTTTCACCGTAGGACTTCCATTTTGCTATTTCAGACTTCAAACCATACACAACTTCATCATATAATGCATCATATAGAAAACTTCCAAACTCAATAGTCTTTGGCTAAGTGTTTCAATTTTTCAACACAATCTTTGTGTTACTGTTTCAATTTCTGGGCTAATTTATATTGACGTTGATTTGTATTAGTTGCTAACGAAAATAAAAAATTTATTTTGACTTTCTGAAAGCCGAATTTTAAAAATTATCAAAAATCGGTTATTCAGCCTGATATAAAAAAAATCATATACATTTTAGGTAATGTTAATAATTAACAAATGGTCTTTCGCTGCTAACAGAATTAATATGTGGTTATATATCCAAAAAACTTTTGTTACGTCGTAGTCAAAGGCTCAGGGAAAATCTTCTCCAGTTAAGTCTTGTCCGGTGCTATTGAAATCTTATAGTTCCATAACTGAAAGAAGTGAAAACAGACTGCCAAAGACGAACATGAGCAAAGCTTTTGAAATGTCTAGTCCGGTACCTTCGACTTGGCAAACTTCCAAATGTAGCAGAAGTCAGAATATGTCAAAAACAAAGAACCGTGAATCAAGACGTCAGCAAGCCAAACTTTAATTCGCCCTTGAAAAGAAGAATTAAGGACAAGACATATAGAGCTGCTTCAGAAAAAACAAGAGATACTTGCATTGAGTTAGTGTTAAAATTGTCACGATTGGCGGATGAAGAGCTGAGTTCAGAGGAAAGTGAGTTCAGTGACAGGTTGGATATACCTGATATAAATAAATGGGTCAAAGGAGAACATCCATGGCAAAAAATACTGGATAACAAATCTTCTTCGAGTGTTAAACTGGAAAATGAGTAAAGAATCATTATTCCACGCCCGAAGAAACCTATTCAATTTAGGTATGATCAATAATTAACGCTTTGAATGTCTCATTTGCTTCCTGTTGTGACGAATAAAAATTGTACCTCTCTGCTACTACCAATAGTTTGGATCTGTGAACTTCTTGAGTTGAGCATTAGTTTCATTACTAGGTAAGTCTGAGAAAACAAGATTTTTCAGGAAGTCATATGCCTCACCTCTTATCGGGGTTTTACTATACAATTTGGTTATGAGATGCACTTCTTGGAATTAAATTCTGAAAGCAACGGTACCGGAACTTATTTCCCTCAAGAGATTGTCATTCACGGATTTATCACAAGCAGCAATTACTAGTAAAGAAGTATTTTCAAGATGACACTCAACGGCACGAAACAGGAAATCGGTGTTTCCTGAAATTAGATGAACAAAAACCTTTCATTCAGGATGGGTTGGAGGCAGATTTGATTATTCTAATTGGATGTATATAAACATAAGCATCCTATCACGATAGGTAGAATTGGAACCTCTTGCGTAAAATAAATATAATTAAAACTTCTTCTCCCACACTAGAACAAAATATTGTCTTTCGAACCAAGCGACACAGATAAGTACAGTGCTGCTCAACAAGTCTTACAAAACTACCACAGAATAAGTGAGGAATACTTGAAATTATTGGATACATGGCAACAGGTTTTCAGATGCTTTCCAAAGTAAAGATTAGGTATCATAACGTAAAATAATTAACATGGGGAAAAATAATAATATAACATAATGAGTTACACTAGGAATCAATTAAATGAACCAAATCAGGTAAGGTAATGGTCTGTCTAGATTACAAATATTAACATAGCCGTTAGATTTAGTTTTAGCCATCTCCTGATGATGCTAACATGGTTAGTGAAACGCGCAGCGAGACACAGTATTTTGTTCTGGATAGATTGTATGAGTTTCAATCAATAAGGTGGAACAAAACTTTTGGGAAACAGGACACTGAGAATATTTGTCTTCATCAGAAAAAATAATGAACTATATAAAAAATTAACATTGATTTTGTACTCAAACACCTGGTAATTCATTTTTTACATTCTTCATGTCAAGGAGTATGGTTAGAAGGATGTAGGAAAAAAGTACAGTTCGTGTTTCTGAGACAGGAGTTTTCTGATAGATCCGCAAAAGTGCGTACCCTCCGCTTTAAATCAAACGCTACTTGCTTTATTTCCCCGTATAACCAAAACAGAACAAATATTTTATATACAGCATTTCGAAGGGGCAAAGAGTGTCACTATGTCAAATTTTGCTGTCATTTCGTCGAAAGCTTTAGTATTTTGCTGACGTAAGTGGGAGGGATAGTTCTCGACGTAATGGCATTTCGACGCATTATGATGTTGCGAAAATATGTAGGCTCCGTCTTCAGAATTCGAAAAGTCTATGTGTATTAGCAGTTTTTTGTTCTCTGATTCTCTTTATTTCCAGATATCCTTGACAGATATCAAAGAATCTGTAAATGTGAAATATGTGAATGTTGTTGATTGACTTCTGAAACATTCGATGTATAGTACAAGGTGTTCTGTTCGAAACGTCAAGGTAAGTGAAAGTATAATTTCTCTGCTCTTTTTTTGATAGGCATGATTATTGAATACGACAAGTTACTAATAAATAGAACATTTTTCTTTGTGAAAAATACTTTGAATTCACGCAGTTACTTATCGGAGTAAACTAAAAAGTTTACTAATATAGGAATGTTCTCCATTACATGTTCTCCATTACAATTTTCATATTTTTCAGATTGTGCAAGGTGAAAATATCCAAAGAAGGTCGATAATATTATCTGATTTCCCCCACAAAAAATTACTTTCGTTCAATATTCTAAATTTGTTCTTCATAAATATAGTGTTGTCCTGCATATGCCTGTGTGAATGACAATTCGCGATTATTATCAAGCATTTTCATTATTTTTTCTGTGTGGATCAATACAATATTCAACGGTGTTGTCACTTTTTTGAGTACCCGCAGAAATTTTTTTCCTGAAATACCTAAAAATAATTTCATTTCTGGTTAGTTAGTTTTCATTTGATATAAATTATTGCAAACAGATTCTAGGTTGAAATAGGTGCAACAATTTCAAAAACGTAATAGATGACCTCTTTAATGTTATACCTATTTCTGCAACTTTTCAATGTTCCATTTGAGAATAAATTTGATGATATTATTTTAACTAACCCTCAGACAATCTAGAAGAAATACTAAACGTAAATAGTTTCAAAAACAGATTTCAATATATAGGATTAATTAGGTCTTTAGAAAAAGTCCTTGAAAAGGTCCTTATGAAAAAGATTTTTTCTCTTTATGAAACTACAATGATAATCGCAAAGTCACTATTATAAAATATCAACAGTAAAAAATTTCATGTTGTACAGTGGATTGAAATCGTTATGCTTATAGAAACTGTAAAGTAACAAAATACCATGTACACTTGGTATCGACCTAGGATTGTTGAAAACCGATAGTTTATATTGATCTGGTAAATAAATTGTTTTTCTGTATCGCAGTTTATCAGTTATCCATATTAATATTTGATACTTACTGCATTGTACTACTCAATATATAACAGTTGGCGACAAGAAGTTTTTAAACAAATCTACATGCAAGTGAAAGAAGTTAATTGAAAAGTGTGAATACTTGTTTTATGTGAAAAAAAGTCGGAATCGATTGGACTAATAGGAACCTTGAACATTTTCGACCAGAAAATTTCGGACTCCACCGTATTCAAAAAGAGACTAGAGCAGTTTTTCAATGCCAACAAAATATCCGAAGAGGACAGAAAAAAAGCGATCCTCCAAAACACATTATCATAAGATCGCTATGCTTCAGTACAAAATGTGTGTGAACCGGCAACGCCGGTAAACAGTTTGATTGTTCAAATTATTGGTGGAACATTTATCGCCAGTGAAATCACATACTTATTAATGAGCGAGTGAGTAGAAGGAGTAAAAAGTTTAGCTTCCAATTGTAAATTAAATGCCGAACTAGATGTTTTAATGAGAGACATATTAGTTACGGGCATCAACGATGAAAAATTGATGGATACATTATTTAAAATGGATTCGGTGATTTGGTTACGCTTCCAACAGTAATTGTAAAGTGAACGCAGATTCAGTCAGAGTCTCAGCTATAAAGAAGCATAATTCCAGAGGAAATCAGAGTTTTGGAAATTTGAACATCAGAAGGTAGTCGCATTCACTTTTCATCGTCACTGGTCCAAATCAGAGGTCAGAAGTCCAGAGGTCAAGCAGTGAACAAAGTCAAGGTAACATCTCAACAGAGTGACGACGACGGTAAGACTGTAAGTGATGGTAAGAATCAAGACAAGATCCAGGTTGAAAACGATTTCCTTTCTGAGCAACCATTAGTAAGTAAATGTTTTTCGTGGGCTAAAAAACCATTTAACCAGCGAGGGAGTATTGAAACATTGCACTTGCTACAGATGAGGGGTAAAAGGTCACCTAGTGCCAGAATAAAAAAATCTCATCATTTCCTACTGAAAATTCAAAGACTAAAAGACAGGAAACTGAAAAGTCTATTTCTGATTACTAATATTTTGTATTCAGAACTTTGAATATATCAGGTAGGTTGTTTCAAAAGTTTTGTCCATTTCAATGTCATGTGATTTTGAAGCTCCATATCTCAATAAATATTTTTCTACTGTGTCGTGGTTTATACTGATCGATAGAAAATGTTGTACTCTATTCATTGATAATGTTCATTTATTTGTTGTCAAGCGATTTTCGAACAATTTTTCTCTACGAATTGAAATTGAACTAAAACGCTGTCGAAACACCCCGAAAAATCAGTCAGGTATTTGGTAATGATAGTGTTAATGAACGCACTGTACGACGTTGGTTTACGAAATTTCGTTCTAGAGATTTCAGCCCCGAAATAGTCGACCTACAGTAATCCAGGACGAAGATTTGAGGACCCAGGAGGAGACCGACCCATCACAAACGATGCGTGGGATGGCGAAAGAACTGAGCATCAGCTTTCATGCCGTCTTTGATGGTTTGAAACGTAATGGAAAGGTCAAAAAGCTCGAAAATTGGCTGCTCCACAATTTGAACGATCGACAGAAATTGTCACAATTCGAGGTATGTTCTTCTTTGCTTTTGCGCAACCAAAATTATCCTTTTTTGGCTCGGATCGTCACATATAATGACGTGACAGGAGACGTTCAGGACAGCGGTTGAACACCGATGAGCCATCCAGGCACTTCCCATAACTTTCTGAAACAGGGCCAAACCATCACGGCATGGTCCTTTTGTGAGGAAATATACCAAAAATTGCGTCAGCAGCAGCCGGCACTGGTCATCAGAAGAGGTTCGATCCTGCTCCACGACCACACACGTCCACACGTATCAGAAAACACCACCTGAAAATTTGGGACTCGAAATGAAGCAGCATCAGGCCTTTGACTTTCAGGTTCATACGGATCCTCATTGGTTTATTGATTTGGAGCACTTTCATCAATCACTTCTGCCTTCCGCAGTCAAAGCTGGCTATTGATTTATTGGTCTCTGATACTTCTCAACGGTTTCTTGAAATCACCTCCTGTAACACACAAAACAAGACTCCTATATAAATCCGAAAAAAAAATTATATAAAGTGTAATATTTGAATAATGGTTGAAACTCCATTTTCGAAGATTTGAGGACCCAGGAGGAGACCGACCCATCACAAACGATGCGTGGGATGGCGAAAGAACTGAGCATCAGCTTTCATGCCGTCTTTGATGGTTTGAAACGTAATGGAAAGGTCAAAAAGCTCGAAAATTGGCTGCTCCACAATTTGAACGATCGACAAAAATTGTCACGTTTCGAGATATGTTCTTCTTTGCTTTTGCGCAACCAAAATTATCCTTTTTTGGCTCGGATCGTCACATATAATGACGTGACAGGAGACGTTCAGGACAGCGGTTGAACACCGATGAGCCATCCAGGCACTTCCCATAACTTTCTGAAACAGGGCCAAACCATCACGGCATGGTCCTTTTGTGAGGAAATATACCAAAAATTGCGTCAGCAGCAGCCGGCACTGGTCATCAGAAGAGGTTCGATCCTGCTCCACGACCACACACGTCCACACGTATCAGAAAACACCACCTGAAAATTTGGGACTCGAAATGAAGCAGCATCAGGCCTTTGACTTTCAGGTTCATACGGATCCTCATTGGTTTATTGATTTGGAGCACTTTCATCAATCACTTCTGCCTTCCGCAGTCAAAGCTGGCTATTGATTTATTGGTCTCTGATACTTCTCAACGGTTTCTTGAAATCACCTCCTGTAACACACAAAACAAGACTCCTATATAAATCCGAAAAAAAAATTATATAAAGTGTAATATTTGAATAATGGTTGAAACTCCATTTGAACACGACATTTATAACACCTTCTTATTAATTTTGTTTCAGGTTTCTGGCCACGGGAGAGTCGTACAGATCACTGCATATCGCCGTCTGCTCTAAGCACGATAATACCTACCTAAGGTGTTGGCTGTGCTTCAAAAAAAGCTTGTGCCGATTTTTTCGCCCCCTCCTAACAAGATAGACTGGGAACAGAAAGCCAAGGAGTTTTGGAAGCGTTGGGGTTTCCCTAATTGTGTATCAGCTATTGATGGGAAACATGTAAGGATTGTGGCTCCGTCCTCATCAGGAAGTCTTTATTTCAATTACAAAGGGTTTTTTCAATTGTGCTTCTCGCAATGGTCGATGCTAACTGCAAATTTGTAGTTATTGATGTGGGTTCGTATGGAAAGGAGGGTGATGCAGGAATTTTTAATAAGTCGAAAATGGGACTGTTAGTGAGAAACAAAATTATATTTTCGCCTCCGAAAAACCTTCCGCATTCCAACATCTTGGTACCTCACGTAATAGTTGATGACGAAGCTTTCAGTTTGAGTGAGCACGTGATGAAGCCGTACTCCAAAGCATATATTTTGCAAGACGCACACAAAAGAATGTTCAACTACTGTCTGAGCAAAGCCAGAAGAGTATCTGAAAATACTTTAGCGATCATGTGCGCAATTTTCAGATTTTTTTTTACTCCTATACATTTAAAGCCAGAAACTGTTGACTTAGTCGTTACTGTGTGTTGTTGCTTGCACAACTTGCTTAGGGATGAATACTTATCTGAGAATCTCTTCAGAGTACATACAACTCCTAACTTCACAGATTCACAACCCCAAAACTTGATTCCTCTTGCAGGTACTGGTGGGTTTTCAAAATCCGATGGATTTCAAGTGAGAGGTAGATTCACTGATTACTTCAGTATGAACCTAGATGATTCAGACTGAAAAACTACTACTTCTGCTAGGTAATAATAATTAGCCCTCGGCAGTGGTGTCTGATTCATACCATGTTATTCTTGTAAATGTAATTGTATTAAATACATTTTACTAGTTTCAAAGTTTGTTTTTATCAATATTCTGTCATACCTCATTTCGCAAAACCTCATATATAACGTGAAAATTTGATGTAACGCGATTTTATTTTATTTTGTTAAGAAAAGTTTTTTAAACGTATTAGATTTACATCTATACATATTGCAATAATAAATAAGAATTACAGAAAATTTTATGAAGTTTTTAATTCAAACAACTTGTTGATTTTTAAATGACAACTTTCGCGTATTTCAGCTTTGAAATTTTCAAATAAACACTAAAATGATTGTATAAGTGATAAATGATTCTTGGAACGGTAGCTGTGTTAACATGTCCCACTACGTACCCTTTTTCTAGAAACTCTCACTGGTTGGGCTCATCCATTTCCTAGAGAAACCAATTCTACTATTTGTTATTGAATTATGAGTTCTAAAAATGGATTTTCTGATTTTCATTAATAAAACTTTTGTGCCAGGATATCGCAAATGAATGAATTCTTTAATGAGAATTTCATTATTGAACCAAAAAATACATTTCATGAGGACTTTTTCGGCTTCATTCCAGATCAGATCTTCCTTCACGTTGTTTTTAAATGCTGGGTCTTTTGAATCATATAAAATGCTGTGGCGTTGAACAAACTCTATCAGAAGTTCGACTTCATCAGCCGAAAAACGCAGTTTTTGCATATTTGCATTTTTTTCCTCATTTCAGTCAAATCACAAACACTACACACAACAAAATGAACGTTCCAAGACGGACAAAACCTAACTCTTACGCAGCGTGAAACCGAATAGACTCATCTCCAAATTCTCCAAGCAGTCGGTGTAACACGTTTAGCGCATCACGTCGGCGTGGAAAGTGTTGCGCTCTTTAGGAAAACAGTCCTATTGAATCCCTATGGAGGAGTAGGTGACGTATTAAGCTGAGCGTAACACGTCGCACGCGACGCGAAAAATGCGTCGCTAGGAAAACAAGGCTTTACACGTATGCCCACTTGCACTGATCAGGTATTTGGTATAGATGTCAGGACCGAATATTAGAGCTTCAAGAGTATAGAGTTCATTGTCGATATACAACTGAGTATTTCTGATGGCGGCCTTTACTCCGTCTTTCTTTGCAGTATTCAGATAACTCCTGAGTTTTTTGTTGATTGCTTGATCTGCTTGGTTCAGTTCATCAACAGTGTAGATATTTTCGCCTTTGAGTTTGTGTAAATTTTTCATTATTTCGACTTTCTTTATATACGATAGAAGTTCTAGTTTCAAAGCGTTTCCTTTATTTTTAGTCGAAAAAAAGTAGGCGTTATTGAAATCAAACATTCTTATATCACCGTCTAACTTGTTATTCAGATATGTCAGTGTCTCAGATATATCTGAAGTTTCGATACAATACAATAATATTATTTTTTCTGTGTCTTCTGTGTCCAAAGTTTGGATTTGCCCCGCCAGTTTGGTATTTTCAGCTTCTAGAGTAGAAATTTTGTGATTAACCACCTGCTTCCTCTTTTATTTCCTTTAGAGTTTCAATAGTAGTGTCTGTTTTTTTGTTTTCAAGGTTAATAAGAACTTTATATGAATGGGCACATGTGATTCCGTCAAGAGCAGTACATATCATAAATACACGAAGGACTGTGGCTGCTCATCGTTTTGGGATTCAACTCAGTACACCTTGAACTTCAGTGTTTAGGAACTCTTTCATCTAGAGAACTGCGTTTATGTGGAATAAACTTTCTGACAACGTTTTTCCAAATGTATTTAATCTCCAGCGATTCAAATTCAACGTGAATCATTACTTTCGCACAGGCACTGCTCTGAGAGCGCCTCAAAGATTTTCCTATAGTGCTTGTGTTTTGTTCTTAAGAAAAATTAAAACTTACCAAATCAATGAATTCCCATTTTCTTAAATCCCACGTTCAGAACTCGAAAAAGACAATGTATCCATGGATCATAATACTAGTGTTGTCGGGAAGGAAGGTGTCAGTGAAATGGACATTGATTGGGTTGAAACCGAACAAGCAAATGTTGAGTCTAGGTTACTCAGGCGTAGAAGTCAATTAAAACCTCCAAAAAGGTTTGGTTATTGATTTGTGAATTTTATAATTATTTTTGTAAATATTTTTAGGAGAATACTGATGAAGGGAAAAGGTGTTGTTAATAGTGAATTGAAATTAGAGTGCTTAAAAAAATGTAAGGGCACAGAAAACCATGTGCGCTTGGTATCGACCCGCGATTGTTAAAATCCAATATTTAATATTGTGCTTGGAAGTGAATTGTTCTTATGTGTAACAGTTTTTCAGTTATTCATATTATTATTTGATTGCATTGAACTTCTCAATACATAACATTTATTGAATTAAATCTAACTCAGTGCTGCCAATACAACTGCCAATACAGTCTTGAGTTCTTACGTATTCTTTAAAACATCACTTTAAGGTTCTCAAAAAATCTCCCGTGGAACTTAAGCGAACATTTTAAGTAGACAACAGTGTATTCGATACGGAAGTGTTGGTTTGTAGTTTGATAATGTAATAGGTTACATAGCAAGTTACGTAACGTTCTACGAGTAGGAATTTTTTGCTGTTCAAAATTGTAATCGTGTGTTCTGAAGGAAGGTGGGTCTTTTTATGTATACATTGGTGAGAGTTGCATATCGACCGTTGAATAACAATCCAATAGCGCGGTCATTGTTCCGATATAGAATTTATTATGTAATATGAAATGGTTATCTGAAGAAATTTTGCAACACCGTCTTTCGTGATAATTTACAACGATATTGATTTTCTTATGATTAGGACTCATCTAGAAAAAACAATGATAGTAACGAATTTGCTTTAGTTTGATCAGTCAAACAAGCGTTCAGATAAGTAGGTATTTAGTTAAAGGTAAAAATTTCGTTAATGTTTTATTGAATGTTATTAATTGTGTGAAGGTGATTCTGAATAACTGTGTCGACGAAACTTGAGTATATCTGTTCTGTATTTGAAATTTGAACATACAGTATGTATTTCGTAGATGTTATTGAGATGTCGATGGTTGATCTTTTAAAATACCTCTCAAGATGAAATGCTTGTTAATCTATTGGAATCTTATTTTTTCTTCCAGGTTCAATTTTTTCGTTCCAAAATATTCCTCAGCTCTCATGAAAGTTAGCTGGCTCAAAATTCGTATATCTAATGTTTCCCCATTTGAGTGATTTATCCAATAACTTTGCCTTTTGATGTTTATTGTTACAGTTCAATTCATGTATTCATAGATATAGTACCGTGGCCATTTAGATAAAGAAGTGTGAAAACAAGGTCTGCTAACCGAGTCTGGAATATTTGTTCAAAACTGGAATTCGAAAAACAATATTGAGCGAAGATCTATTTAGGTACGTCATAGAGGAAAATCCAAAATTATATCTTTGAATCCCAAGAAACTCTTTATTTATTATAGAACTTTTGTCTCAAAAATGCCAGTTACCCAGAATTGATATATACATTAGGTACTTCGAAGAAAATTAAATTGAATTGATGAAGCAGCGATTCATAATCTCCAACTACATTCCCGGTTGCCACCGCTCGAAGCTCATTGCCTGGTGTGACGTCAAGATGTACCGCGAGCTATCTTACATTTTCAATTGCTCTTGCTCAGTTGTTAATAAACATATAAACCCGAAAATGTTGTGGGATACTTGGGAGATGATTTACTTTTATAATATATAATTTTCAATAAAAAAACTAAATGAGCCCATTACGGTCACTTTGTTTATTTCAGTGCTTCGTCCAATGAAGTCCAGAGCTGTTATCTGAACATCAAACGGTTGAATTTTCCCAAAATTAAGACAATAGAAGCATTCACTAACAGAAGATCGTACATGATAAAAACTTTATTTTTGGTTTTCTGTTAACCAGCTGTCGCCCCCCACTACGAACGACAACCCTCAAAAGTCGAAACTTGTGCGATCTAAAGATTAACGAGGTCTCATCTTTTAACGCGCGTTTCCTTGAACCTGATTTCAACACACATTTCCATTTATATTTCCGATATAATAGAAATATCAATTTGTATTATTACGGGATTGTCATTCCAAAAGAAGTATATAGGTATAATGGAAATTTTTTCATTATCGTTTGAAAAAAAAACTTTAACTTGTTATTTGTTTTCTTTTGTCTTCAAAAAAAAGGGAATGATATTGTGAGTTCACCAAAGTATGTCCTGTGACGCGAACTATCGTTTTTTGAAGTGGAAAAAACCTAGTAAATAGCTTGTTTCCGTAGTTTTTTGAAAAGAATGAAATCGATAGTAACTGCTTTGTAACAAATGTTTGGAATACAAACGGAATAGAGAAAAGTGTTTTTCATATAATTCAGCGTTCGTATAAAAGTATTTGTTTCGATTTTTTTTTATTTGTGTAATTCAATGTTTGTCTGAGAATAACTGTTTCGAGAGAGCTTTTTCTTCCAGTTTGTGTCTGAAAGTAACCTCTTTGCATGATCTACACATGTATACAGTTCATTTTGTTTGAAATTGATTCCTTCCTTTCTTTGGAAGATACCCACATTTTTGTATCAAGATGGAGAAATAGCAGACCAAAAACTTTCCCAAAGAATGTCGACAGCAATTCGTTTGATAGAACTCAGTTCTCTCTGAAAATTACTTTCCCACAGTGGAATATTCAGTAGTCTGTGAAGTATACTATCGAATGCTGCTATTTTATGCTGATAGGGATGTGTCGAAGAATTATTTATGACAATGTTCGTATAAGACGGTTTGTGGAAAATTGCAAAATCTTGTTTACCAGATCTATCCCAATAGTCGGTTCAACAAGTTCAAAAACATAAAAAATAGAAATAAAGGTCCTAAAAATATGAGCGATAGTTCATTCGATTCGGAATAAACCTCTAGAAAAATGTTGTTGAAGGATTTTGGTGCAGGTAAAAATTGCAATTGTTATTAACAAAATAAGATTTNTAACAATTGCGATTTTTTACCTGCACCAAAATCCTTCAAAAACATTTTTCTAGAGGTGATTCCGAATCGAATGA